CAAAAAACGTGCTTTGTTTATAAACCAGCCTAATATTAAGCCGGTACGAAGGTTCACGCCTTTAGACCTGTCCGAAAATCCTTTAGACAATGATAAGCAACCCTGAACAGTGTATGATGCAGGAAATCGTCCTCTTTCTAAAAGCATTGTTTCTGGAGCTTTGATGGCCACTTGTATGATCGTCAAAACTTCAACCCATGGTTACCCTTCTTTTAGCTATTAGGTTGGAAAGAAAGTTCTCGGACATTTTCAGCTATTAGATTGTCTCATAAGCCTTTTCATTTTTGAGTTTTCGTTGTAATGAGTGTAACACTTCTTATTCTGAATAGATATCAGAACACCATTTGATAGAGCAAAGCAAGCTCTATAAGATGGCGTTTATGCTTTTGCACCAGCTTCGATCCACCTCAAGTAGAAATAAAATCTAAAAAGTTTCGGATGCAGCTAAAAATTTTTTGTATCTTCGTTAAAGAAGCCCTACAGATCTCTCCCTCGCTCACGCATATAGACTCCACATCAGACACTCATATGTGCTGTTGCTGCATTTTCTTTATTGGCTAGAATTAATAGAACGAAAATCTCCAAGTCCTCACTTAGTGCAAACTTGGAGATTTTCGTTCTATTGATTCTAGCCAATAAAGAAAATGCAGCAACAGCACATATGAGTGTCTGATGTGGAGTCTATATGCGTGAGCGAGGGAGAGATCTGTAGGGCTTCTACAGTGAGCTGTACTGTTCTTACACTAACAGTCGTATACTGCAAACCTTTAGAAGTACAACGTAAATTGTTAGCTCTTTATGAGCTCTACTTACCGAGGAATGCTAGGTTAAGCGCAAAAAACCCTAATGAGGAAAGCTAAACTTTTCTTGGGAACTAGAGCTCAAGGAGAGCTAAAAATTTAGGATTATACTTCTAAGGGCTTATCGCATACAATTGTTAGTGTAAGAACAGCACAGCATCAGTTCGTTAAAAACATAGAATTTTTCGTTTTCTTGATTTCTAGCCAATGAAAAAAAGAGCTTGCTTTGCTCTATCGAATGGTTTCTCCTCTCTCGGATGTATTAGGTTGGTGCAAAAGTAATGCGCGTTTTGCGAGTTCTCAATTTGACGTGCTATAACTTTCTAAAAAAAATCCATATTTTTCAGCGCGGCAAAATACATCAGAGGCACCAAACCTCTTTCTATACAGCACACCAATTTGTGAAACGATGAAAAAATATGGATTAATGAGCAAAAAAATTTTTCTTCGGAAACCTCGTCTTTAACTGATCATAACTTCCTTCACGATTTGTTGGTGTTCATGAAAAGTTGACTATCTTGTAGCCGCAAGCCAGTAGTACAAAAAAGGGGCTCAAACAAAGAAGATTTGAGAAAAGGAAAAAATAATCAAAATTGTCCGCTTTTTTCGACAATTTTTTGTAGCCCTCAAAATCCCAAAATATGGACATTGATTTTCTGTGTACTGAAAAGCTTCCATATTTCTGCAAAAACTGTCAACAAAAGGTCTACCCTTACGCTTACAGGAGTGAGCAAAACTTTGGTGATTGCTTTCTTCAAAGGATTTATGGGCCACAGAATGTTCAAAACCATCACTCATGTTGGGGCACCGAAATCTCAGGCTAATTAATTTCTGGGATAACAGCAAAGCATGCATAAGGTAGAGAATTTCTACTGCATACAGTAGTTAAATTTTCAAAAGAATGCGTTTACTCGCGCTCAAATTCTGGCCAAAAAAGTAAATGCAATGAAATTCTGATTTCAAGTGCGGTTGTATGAAGCTCTATAAATTGCTAATGATTGAGGCTAGAAGCTTTTTTCAACCACCATTGAATAGAGCATGAGAGAAGCTTCTTCAAAGTATGCTGTGTAGGTTTCATAGGAGAAACATCGATGGAGAAAAGCTGTCTTGAGATAAGGGCTAGAAAAACGCGCATTACTTTTGCGCCAACCTAATACAAGCATTAGTTTTCGAGAAATACGAGTTCTAGTCTGAAGTCCGAGAACTTTCTTTCCAACCTAGTATTTTATAAATTTTCATTCCAATTTTTTAAAAGAGTTTGACAATATTTGGGAAGAGTTAACAAAGTGCAATGTAACACATTTTTTGGCATATACAGGGTGTCCCCAAAAAATGTGCCTACTGTTTGATTGTAAATAACTCAATTGTAATGAAGTATTTCGAGAAGCTTTAGGTACCCTTTTGTAGAGCAAGGTTACATAGATATACCAGTATGGAGTAAATCATCTATCGCTTTTCATTACTGCAGGATTACGGTACGAATTTCCAGCATATGGAACAAATGTGAAATATACCACCTAACAAAATTTTCTTCAGAAAGTCTGAAAAATCGTGTACTAGGGTTTTCGCGCATGCTGATTCCTTCTAACAACTTTTTACGAGTGTTTTCAGCTTTTTTATGGTGTAATTACATTTCCGACAAATGCGGGAATTGAATTATTACGATTTATCGGGAACAACATTGGAAGGAAGCGTCACAGTAAAGTGCGAATTTCAAATTCGAAATCAGGGGCTTCCATTACCATAGTATAAGAGTCTTTGGCTTGTCTGGTTTTGTTCCGAGGCAGAATATAGCCTCCAATGGCCTAAAATCTTTGTCGAAGTTCGTACCGTAATCCTACAGTAATGAAGAGTGAACAGTGATTCGTTCCATACTGTAAATCTAAGTTTTACCTCGCTCTACCAAATGGTACCTGATGCTTCTCGAAACGCTTCATTACAATTGAGTTATTTACAATCAAACAGTAGGCACATTTTCTGGAACACCCTGTATAAGCCAGCTTTTCAAAATTGTTGAATTTATTTTATGATGCAAAAAAATACATATCTGGTCTCTTCAAACATTAAAAGCATTGAGCATTGAGCAACCAGGGAGTCAATCGATGCAATTTTTCTAGTTTTCCTGATGATATTTTTTTTGGAAAGATTTCCTCATCAAAAAAGTAAATTTCGAGGAAACTAGAGTTGATTATCAAATTTTTCTCAAATTGCTCTTTCCTTCTTTGGTTTCACACTCTCAAACAATCAACTTAAACATCTCTGCAAACGTCAACCAAACAATTTTCTGCTAACATAGCTAAAGTTGGAGCCGGTAAAACAATGCGTTGGAGATTCTGACAATTTCACGGAACTCAAAGAACTCGGAGAGAATACAAATTGTCAAAATAGAGAAAATTATTTGCATTGACCTACTCAAAGCGTTTGCCCATCAACACTCTGCGCGATTTTAAAATAGATGCGAAAAAGGGTACAGACCTCTAGATCGACCTAATATTAGGGTGGTGCGAAAGTTCTTGTGTAAAAACGAAATTTATTTGAATACTAAATCTAAACTCATACATGTGTCCCAAGAAAACTGGAATGCATGTGCTTCATAATAAATGTTTGAGCATGACCTTCTATGAGTTAGCCACCGCGAACGAAGCTTTCAAAACTAGCATCACAAAATTTCATAATATATAGCTGAAAATCTGCTTGTTTGTCTGTCTGTATGTGTGTACATATGTTCCGAATACAAAATTTTTATTTCTGAATCTATTCGGACCAAGCTTAGAACACTTTGGGGTGGGGCGAGTGTCGTAGGCTACTTTTCGCCACCTAATATCAATTTTATTGATTTTATCGATTTTTTGCAAAGTTTGGATTGGGTGTTGGCGGAGGGGGTAATCGAGCATGCTGATTACGAATACAATATTGGATAGACTTGTCCGCAGTTTTATCAATTTTATCGTTCTGCAAAGTTTGGGCTGGGAGTTGGCACAGAAGAGCAACGAGCATGCTGATTACGAGCACGATATTAGTTTCTAGAATTATCCGTTACTTCTATCAATTTTATGAATTTTTTGCAAAGTTTGAGCGACGGGGCTGGGAGTTGGCACAGGGGGAGGGGGTAAGTGACCATTCTGATTACTAACACGGTAGTGGATTGGATGTAGAAGTGAAAACAAGGAAGGGTTTTACTGGGATAGGACTTTTATCGTAGTTTTGACAGGGCCGACGGAGCCGGATAAGCTAGCTACTCTGCTATAAGTTTGGTGCTTCAAAATCGCAGTGTGCCGTTAATAGCCCAAAAAATGCAAAAAATTACTTCCAAAACAAAAGTCCGTACGCTACTGTGGCATGCTTCAACCCTCATTGCTCCCTGTAACGCAAAAACAAAAAATTTGTGGAAAATGTCGTTTTTCAGGACACTTTTTTGACGTTTAAAAATGTTCTTCTAAATAGGCATTATGTCAAATTACTAGTCATGAATTTTTTTTATCAGTAAAAAAAACAGCAGCGATAGATTTATCCTGTCCAATTTTCACATATTTCTTGCTTCTGCTTATACGAAAATGAATGCCAAAACAAATGGGTTTTTGCTACGTAGGAAATTACAGATCCTTCGGCCCTCCGCATTTTTTTAGCCACAACAACTTCATAATTTTGTAAGCTTTGAAAGCTTCGTTCTCGGTGTAACTTATAATGTCATGCTTGCACATCCATAATGAAAAGCGAACTTCCTCTATTTCCAGGATACCAAACTATGAATTTAGCTTTGGTGTTTGATAATGTATTGAATTTCGTTTGAATTACGCTATATTTGCATTAACCTGAAATTACAAATGTGAGCACAGAGCGCAGCACTTATGCGCTTTAGGTATTTTATGAAGCTCAGTCAGCGCAGTTGAAAAAATTTGGCTTTATACAGTGAAAGTGGACAAAGAACAGCAGCAATCGTTACAGAACCACTGGATATGCAACGAAAGTTTACGATGACTAAGCGCATTTACCTGTGAGATGTTTTCTCCAAGTAATCAGAAAAAAATGTCTTCCACAATTGCGCTACAATTTTGAAATATAAGGCATAATGCATAATTGAAAATTGTTCTACTTATCGGTTCCAGCACAGTTTACAAACTCTGGGCCCTTATCCTTTTCTCAGCCATTTCCGCGGAAACTGTCTGATCATGAGATCCTTATTCGCAGTACTGAATTTTTAGTGAATGAACATTTCATTGGCTTTGGCTACATACAACAGTCTCCGACAGTTAGCACATGCATTATAGTGCCAACGTGCAATCAATGTTACTCCCGTTCTTTGTACTCTTCCCACTGGTAAAGGCTGTAACAACTTCAGCAAATGATAAGCGCTCTTCAGGTTTGCTTTATACTATTTACGCTCAAGAATTATTGAATTTTGATTTTCAAGTGAATGCTACTGCCTCATTTCACCGTCCCTCCGCCGTCTTCGTAAATGCTGACAGTTCTCAGGTCAGCGGGAAATCTTCCATTTAATAGAGGGATAGCTTCCGAAACTTATTTTCAGACTGCAAATGTGGTGTACGGTGGACATAACTTGCGTGAGTAAAAGCATAAGACTAATTCTATACGCTTTAAACATGCTCCAATCATTTTTTGAGCATCAAAAACGACCAGTATTCAAAAGTTTGAACGCGATGTCGCACAAAGGTGCGTAATATAAACACTGTCGTATGCAACAACGAAAAAACCATATTCACAGAGAAACGATCCCAACTTGAGGTGGCGAATTGAAATGAACCGCATATCATTGAATGCGTCGTAATAAGCTGATTCCAGATATGCCTTTCACTGCGGATACCGTTCCCTGCAAAAAGTCATAAGCGTTTGAAAATGTGAAGTTACTGGGTTTCAATGCATAATGTGCTTCACAATCCAACTTGGGAGTGTATGATTAGCATGATACTAAGTGTACTTGTTTCAGGAAATGCTCACATTCGAAGAAACACAAATAAATGTTTTAGAACAACTGAAAAGCAACTAAAGCTCGTTAGTAGAAGCTATGAGCAATTTAAGTACAAACTTGGTAATAATACAGCGCCATATCTCGAAAATTAGTTGTTCATAAACACATAATTTTGTTTCTTTTAAATGTGAGCATTCCTTGAAATAAGTACACTCACTCTCATGCTAGTCATACAGTTTGAAGTTGGATTTTGAAGGCTTCACATTTTCAAACGCTTATAACTTTCTGCAGAGAACGGCTCCGCAGATATGAAAGGCAGATTTTAGCTCACCAAGGCGCATCTAATGATATGCGGCTCTTTCCAATTCGCCGACTTGAGTTGGGATCGTTCACTTGTCAGAGAATTAAAACTAGAATCTTGCGTTTGGCCAGAAAAATCCCTTCTTGGTTGAACAATATATAAAAATTTGAGTTTACCCAAAAAAAGTGCTTGACAAGCTTGTTTGAATTTGTCTAGGATCAGCAACAGAGTAGAGTTAGGCTAGCACCAAGACAAGTGATTTTAATGCATTTTTCTGTAACGTTTATGATTTTGAGCGTTGGTATATCTCAACATAACTTATTAGATCACGGAAGGAAAGCCTTCGATTAGCTCACCTGTATAAATGAAGCTGAATGTCTGTCTGTGAATGTGTGCTTGTCTATCTGTGTATACATAGGTATGCTCTAAATAGAATTTTTATCAACCGATCCGGGCCAAACTTGACACACTTACACTTCGAAGCAGGATGGGTGTTCAGAGCTACTTTTCGCAAACGATCGAATATTGATTTCATCGATTTTTGCAAAGTTTCACCTGTAGAGCTGGAAGTTAGCACTGTGAGGGGGAGGGAGGTAAATGATGCTCATTACAAAAATATTATTAAAGGGGCAGGCGAAACCGGATTTGCTAGATAATAAGGACTACAAATACAACAAGAAACTAGCTAAAGCAAATAGCTACAGCTGTATTTTACATAACGACACAAAAGGTTTGTGCATGCCATATCTAAGGATAGATTGTCAAAAAATCACACGTGATAATTTACTAATTGCTGAAGATAGGAAAGATGTTTTACTCGTTGCTGAAAATAGGAAAAACTATAAAAACTCGCGAACAAAATTATTTAGATTTTGTCATACGTAGCTTAGATTACATGTCCTCTTCCATTTGAACCTCGGCATTGATTTGATTAAGTGTTAGTTAATACATATGCCAACACGAGGTTTTCTGGTGAAGCTTTATTAGTAAAGTGGCCTTACGTTTCGCCACCAATCGTCGTCTTCAGAGGCCTAAAGTGGAGCGAGATTGAGGATAATATGCCTATAACATCAAACATTGTCGATCCAGGCTAGTATTCGATCTCTCTATGGTTTCACAAGCAAAGACCCCAAAATGGAAAGACGAGCTGACCGTGGCTCTACCGCTGTCGCACTGATGGTGGTGTGCGACCGCCTTCTCTGTGTAAGTAATGCAAATTGTCCATACAAGGTATCGAGCAACTGCATTACTTATCTATAGCTCACATAACGGAATGAACGGCAGGAAATCATTCGTAATTGCCAAGATTCATTCCTGTTGTTCATGGGTGGGTTCCTGCTTGAAATCCACAAGGCTTCGAGAGCTTTTCGCGCAGCTACGTCAGATTCGTAAGTCAAAATCGAACATCTAACTTGATAGTCGTGGTCACCATGCTCATCGTGCTTATGCATTCCGAGAGGTGAGGTCAGGCTACCTTTCCTTTTATTGGCTAGATGTTCTTCATTGTCGCACCAGGTGTACGTCCGATTTCTCCAATGTACGTAACGGCGCATGTTAAACAATCTATCTGATTTACTACCCCGGTTTTGGCGCAATCACCGACATTGTTATACGGGCAAATCACACATTCTTTCGAAATGCAGAATTTGTTGTATAGCCTATTTCGCACAAGCCGTTTCTTGATGTTATCGCTTGGAATGTTTACGAAAATGATATCATCGCGCAGCTCTGCTCACTCGATGCTTTTCTGTACAGCACTACTGGCTTCGTCTAAGACGAAAGGTAGACAAAGTGTTATTCTGTTATTGTGCTGGTCACTGTTTTTCGATTTTTGTAATCTAGCGTGCCTATAGTGCACTTGGTAGCGATTACTCCGAGCAATGTTTAACGCCATAGCACGGGACTCGTTCGCTTTTTATCTCCTGTACAGACTTGCGCTGCTGTTCTAAACATGTTTCGTACATTGGCATGTTTAACAGCAGAAGGATATGAGGATTGAGCGCGCAGTAAGATGTTCTTTGAGCTTTTTTTCGATACCATTTCACGATTGCGCTACAGCCAGACAATTTGATTTGTACGTTCAAGTAAGGTAGCCAGCCGTCCGTCGGTTGTTCTCGTGTAAATCTTATGTATGGAGACTGCTAATTTAACAATCGGAAGCATTCGTCCATTTCGGACTGCGTAGATGTTATCAAACAGCAATCATCGATATATCGACAATACATAAGAGGTTGTGTTGCAACACCGGGTTCTCAATTTTACTCATAAAAGAAATAGCAAGCACTGGCGCAAGTCTTTGTCTCACTGCGAGATCCCATTGGCTAAAGTATGATCCTGACCATCGGAAGATGGTACATCGCAGGCGTTCTTTGATCAGAATCATAATGTGGTTCTTACTTAGCCCAAGATGTCGATGTTACCTCCTTCAACGTCCAGCATCTCTGATAATGCTTGTAAAGCACCGTCATTTTGAACATTGGTTTACAAAGATACCACGTCAAACGAATCACGGAACTGTGTCAAACTTCGCGTTTTGTAAGTTGATTCGTTTGACGTGGTATCTTCCAGAAAATGGTTGGTGTTGGATCGATCGGATTGAAAAAAGATCGAGATCGATCTGTGACTCTGTTCGATCTAACGCTAAATCCTCCCTCCAGACAAAGTACGACAAACTCGTTGGTGCCACTGGTAAAGGTCGAAAGAATGCTGAAAGCAGCTCACCTAAGCAACACCGCTCAGACAGTGATATAGCTCCAAAAGATTCCGATCAAACGGCAGGAGTCACAGTAATTGGTGATGTTCAGATACCTGATAAAGCGCGTGAGTTCCCTAGTTTAGGTCCTTCATTCTCTGTCGCTCAGAATCAAAGCCCACAAGCTTAATCACACTGATGATACTCTTGATACAGTTAGACAATCTATACATATATAAAACTCAAAATTGTGAGTGTGGAGGCTATGTGCGCTATAGAAACGCGCGCGGCTCAACCGATTCAGTTGAAAATTTGTACACTTAGGTTTTCGACCCCGGCGCAGATGATAGGCTATTTTTTGCGGCGATTCGTTGGGTCCTTCTATCGATTTATTGATTCCTAGCACTTTGCAATAAAAATGACCCCTATCATCTGCTTTCAAAGCAGAGGCATGTAAACAAGGCCGGCATGTTTCATTGTGGACTTCTGTTAGCGAAGTGCAGTGAGAAGTGCTCTTGATGTGAGTTCAATCGTTCAATCAAGTGAATACTCTCTATATTTTATGCTGCAGTCTAACTTAGCTTGCGATTGACCAAGAGTGCTTTGTAGTGAGTGTGCCGTTAAAAGGCGTGCTCAGGATTATACTCAACGCTTTCTTCGTCATTTATGCTGCGATCAACCTTAATGTGCAAGTCACAGGTGCGATAAGGTGAGAATGACTCCTTCAGGGTGAAGGGGGTCACAGTGGTCGCAACCCCTCCAGGGTGAAGGGTGTTCTACTTGGTAAAGAAATCGTAAAATGTCGACGGGGGGGGAGCCATCATCTTTCCCAGTCAAAGTTCATAATTTCCAATTTCTTACCATCACTGTTTGTCTTTTTTCTGAAATGTGAAGTGATACGCTGCTGGATTAGCATACAATTATATTTTTGACCAGCACCTTGTATTTTTTCACATTTTCTTTTCCCTTTTTTACATCGCCCTGCCTGGTTCTGGAATTCCCATAGTTGATGTGCATGCGAACATTTGTTTCGGAAAGAGTTAGACAATTTTTAAGCATATACAAATTTTTTTCAAAGAAAAAATTCGTAATTTCTGTAAATGAAAAGCAAAGTCAGGAAGGTTAATATTTTTGAAACCATCTTGTCTTCCGCTTTTAGAGAATATATAGTTTGCCTGGAGTCTGTTGAAAAAGTGCCTGGTGAAGAGTGTGGGTAGTGATATCTGGTTATTTTCGAGTTTTTAGGATAAAAAAATTCGTAACTTCTGAAGATGAACATAATTTACGCCGATATGGCTACCATTGAAACCGCCTCGTTTTCTGCTTTTAGAAAATATATACATTGCCTAGTGTCCATCAAAAAAAGTGCCTGGGTGAAGGGTGTCTTAGTGATTTCTGAAGATTTTCGAGTTTTTAACATAAAAAAATTCATAACTTTTTTAGATGAACGTCTCTCACGGCGAGATTGTCACCATTAGAACCGCCTCGTCCTCCGCTCTCAGAAAATATACAGCATGTTCAAGACGTTAAAAAAGTGCCTGGTGCAGGATGTGCATAGTGATTTCTGAGAATTTTCGAGTTTTCAGGATAAAAAATCCGTGACTACTGCACATGAACAGCTGGTGCAAGAAAATAGTAACCA